TATATAGTCGTTTGAAGCCCGTCCCACACTGTCAATATTCTAAACAATGTTTCTAAACGTTCAACAAGAGCACAGAATGTCATGATTTCAGCTCCCTGCCTCCTTTGCTCTTTGCCACCTGCAAGCGTTCTTGGCCACGCCCACTTCTTCGTTCTGCATGGAGAAGAACTGATCAGCTGAAACAGGAAGTTTATCCTGCAGTGTGGGTTGCACAGAGGTGCAGGAAGAAGCTTTTTCTGCAGCTCTGGGCTACAAATTACATGCCGATCGTACGGCTCATCCATCACTCAGCCAACTGTGTGTCATGTCCAAACTTATTTTGAAAAACCACGATGGAGCGAGTCTGCAATAAACGAACCGCGAAGTAGCGAGGAACTACTGTATTGATCAAACATTTTAGTTGCTGTTAGTTAATTTTCAAAAGTCGTGCTATGTTAATCAGCTTTGTAAAGACTTTAAATCAGGCTTTTTTTTTTTTTGCTGACGTAATTTAACAAGCTAAAATCTTTTTATGAATTCAAATTTTAAAAAATGTAAAATTTTTGCAAAATGGCACTTTTTACTCTTCTGAAGACTTTTCAAAGCTGTTTTGCAACATAAGAAACATATATATATATTTTTTTGTCTGGTGTTGTGGTCCAAGGATGAAACCATAAGCTAGTTTGCCCGCATAAGATAGCAGCCTGCTGTGTCTAGAAATGAATTCGACTGGAGTGGAGTTTGTGCACAATAAGCTTGAAGAGGTTAAACAACAGAGAGGAAGGGATCCACTATCAGATGTATTTACTGGTGCAGCTATTAGCGTTTTAATGCACCAGTAATAAATCCCTCCAGAACCAATAGTTAAATTCATACTACTGTTGGCTAGTAAAGGTCCCATCAGTGAATCTGCCTCTTGAAATAAGGATAATATGTAAGTCAAAGGAAGAGGCCATTTGTTCTTCTATAATTAGGGAAAGTATATGTAAATGTATAGGAGATGAAAAAAGCGGAGGTGGCCAGAAACATGTTTGAAAATCCATTATACAGTGCATCTCTTCCTTCTTCTGTCATATCACCATTAGCTTCACTGCAGGAGGAACTCAAGGCTGTTCGGTTATGAGGCTCGCCTTTATAATTTAACTCTGCCTGCATTGGCTTCTTTATTGAGCTTGGCCTTCACTGACAGACATACAGAACCACGGAAAAAGGCTTTGATTTAGCTTAGGAATGTTCTCACTTGTTTGGATCCTGTAAATCATGTTTGTTCTGTCATATCCCCCTTCCCTTTTTGATTCCCTCTATCCTAATCTGCTTCTGCTCTTATCTTTTTTTTTTTCTTCCTCCAAGCTGTTCGTCTTGTCTCTGCTTTCTAATCGCTCCTCTTTTATCTTCCTCTTTCCAGTCAGATCTACTGTATAGAGAACGCTCATGGCCAACTGGTGCGTGACCTGGACTTCAATCCCAATCGACAGTACTACTTGGCGAGCTGTGGGGATGACTGCAAGGTCAAGTTCTGGGACGTCCGTAATGTTCAGGAACCTGTAAAGTCCCTGGAGGAGCACTCGCACTGGTGTGTGGATCCATAGAGGTTAAAACTGCCTTTACATGAGCAACAACATGTTTTCATATCTCACTTGACATGAAACTGATCATCAATGTACGACGGAGCTTTAGGGCCACGCTAAGGAAAAATAATTACATTGCCACACTAAGAAGAAAAAATTAAAAGCCAAATAAAGTCCTAGTATTACGAGAATAAAGTCGTACGAGATTTTTTTTGTTTTTTAATTTTGCAGCTGTCATTTATTTATTTATTCATTTTCCATGAGTCGGATCCACGACGTGACCTGTCAATCAATCCAGTAGGCATGTCAGTAAATAACCAGTCCAAAGCTAAATGCTCCTTACCTGCAGAAAGCTGCTGCAGCCCATCAGAGCGTACCACCTTACTGTAAGCAGGTTTAAAGTCCTGATACTGATAATAATCTGATGCTGATGTGCTAACAGATTAACTACAGTATATCCTTGTTTGTAAAACCAATATCAACGTATAACTTAACAAGATGCTCAACGTTGTTCATTTTACCACAGTTAAAATGTGGTAAACCCTGTTCGGATAATATTACGACTCATTTAGCTTCGGATTGGTCATTTGCTGACACGCCTACTGGATTGATTGACAGGTCGCGTTATGGATCTGACTCGTAGAAGAAGAAAAAAACTACGAGAGCTGCAAAAAAAAGTCTTATTCAACTTTATTCTTGTAATACTAAGTCTTTATTCTTGTAATTTTATGGTTTTTAATTATTATTTTTTTTAGTGTGGCCCTAAAGCTCCGTCGTATCAATGCATTATCCAGAGTTATATTTTAAAACTGAAGATTTACCAATACTAACAATAAGATGTTTTTTTTTTTTTTACCAGGAAATTTGTCAGTATTCAAAAAAATTCAGTGGTGCTGACTTCTGGTGATTATTCTGATGTCTGTAGTGAATTCCGTTTCATCTTCTGGTATTAAAAAACCTGCCAATTGTAGAGAGGTTGTTTTTTTTATGTTATAACTTTTTTCAACATTGCATCAGAACATTCTCTTTTAACAATCGTAAAACTGACAAGCTATGTAAAGAATGTTAGTTTTATGACAATTTTTATTTATTTTTATGTTACCATTTTGAGATTTTATCAAAACATGCATTTTAATACAAATTTAGAGAACTCCTAAACAAAATGTACTTTATGAAACTCGAAATATTTTTTTAGTTTTGCATTTGCACAAAAGCCAGTTTTGTTTTGATTTGGACAGAATTAAAACACGGGATAGTTAGGAAGCTCAATATTCAGGCATATTCAGAAAGCACGTTCGCAATAACAATCAATATGATGATGATGCTTTCACTCCACTTTTGATTGGTTTCTTATTCAGTAATTGCTTTATCTCCGGACTAATGAAATGCCCTGACTACTTCTGATGTAATAAAAGGTACTAATACAGTCATTAAATCTGCAGCCACTTGGTTAGTCGTTTGGACTGAAACAGAGTGGGTCGTAGCCAAGTCCAGCTTCGGGTTGTCTCCAGAAGAAGCTTCAGGCGTTGCTAACAGCTGAACAGTCGACCGCAGATGTGTTGGTGTGGGAGACACATTGTCTCTTGTGTGAGCTGAATAGATGATCAGTGTGTTTCTGTGAGCCAAACTGGGATCTTGTTGCAGCACACCACTCCTCACCTGACATCAGGTGGCACACACACACACACACACCATAAAGCACACTCAGATTTTGTCAACGTGCACGCACACGGGCAGACGTTATCTCCCAAAAAAGAGACGGGCTTTGCAAACATATCCATAACCGTAGATTACAGCCGATGGGATGTCTTCCGATAGGTGATATGCATGTATGTGTGGATTTACTATCATTGAATCTGTGTTTTTGCAAAAGCTTTCGTTTTATCTGTGTGGCCACATTGGTTTGTGCGCGTTCTATAAAGCATATTCTCATTTGTATTCGCCTGTATGAACATCTGACTTCAGTGCGATGCATACATGTGTGGGTGTTTGTCGTGCGTGCTCATTTGTAGGAGCGCAGCCAGGATATGGCCTCAGGGCTGCTGGGGGTATTAGAAACTATTTTTTATTTTTTTTTGCAGGGAAGCGGATTAGGGGAGCGCAGGGAAAGACGTGGCCATGGCTGATTTTTCTGTCAACAGCCTCGGTTATCCCTCAATCCCTTCCTGTGAGGGAACTGGGACCGCACTCTGAGCTGCGCCCTGGGCACACAAAGAACGTGTGAAAAAGGAAAAAAATAAAAAATAGAAAAGCAAGTCAGAGAGGCAGTATTGAGGGTAGAAAGAAGGGACAAAATAGGGAGAATACGGGAGGGAAAGTTGTGAAAATGAGCAAGAAATAAAGCAAGGATCATGGAGTTTTTGATAATAATCATCAGCTCATGTGAATAAGCTCAAATATAGACTGGCTGCAAGCTACCAAATCCGCATTACTGGCATCTGAATACTCAAATAGAGAATGTCTCTGTAGGAGCGCTGCATTTTCTGCAGGATTTGTGTGGGAGGCTGAGTGCGTGCATGTGTGGTCCACTCACATATTCAGTAAACAAACTATCACAGCATTCAGCACTTGCTGCGGGGCTCTTCACCCACACAGAGCTTTGTTCAGAATAATTTTAGTCATATGCATGAATGTAAAAAACGTATTGCACTTTCCCACATTGCTGCGTTGTCTTAATTCTGAATGAATTTTGTGTGTCCCAGGGTGTGGAGCGTCCGCTACAACCACAGCCATGACCAGCTGGTGTTGACAGCCAGCAGCGACAGCCGTCTAATTCTGTCCAATATGGTGTCCATCTCCTCAGAGCCATTCGGACACTTGGTGGACGACGAGGAGCTCAGCGAGGGGGAGGAAAACCATCAGGAAGATAAGTAAGAAAAAATAATGAAAATTGGTTTCCAGTTTCTGAAAACCCCGGCTTCTGCTCATTTCATGCAGACTTTGACTTGAGCTGGTTGGCATTTTTTTTATTTTTATGAGGAATAAAAATGTGAAATTGTTTTAATAAGAGAATTATTAAAGCAAACACAAAGTAAAGTTTTTAAACTTGTGACTTTTTTCCTAAATGAAAGAAGAGGTTGAGTGACATCTGCAAATTAAAAACCTTTGAAACCAGGCAAAGGAAATAAAAACCTGCACCATCACTAATGCATGTTAATCTTTTTAAAGGATTTTATAACATTCCATTCCTTTCTTGGTGTATCTGCTAGTCTGCTGAACTTCTTTCTCTTGTTTAAAAGATCCACCTCTGCTTTCATACCGATGGACTCCCATTGTGTTTAAGCACCGTTTGATATCAGGTATGAATAGGCATCATCCTATTCAGCATGATGGCTGACATTGACCAGTCATCAAGTAGGATCATCTAAAACCAGCGATGGTGGCTGATATTTATGTGCTGGTTTATTGTTTAATTGCATTGACTTTGCCCTGAAACTGACACATGTTTTATGACTGATTTTACTTCCTGCTTGCTCTCGATGAAGATGGACGCTTTTCCTCACGCTTCTGCCTTCCTCCTGCTTCTGCTCTTGTACTGTGAATCTTTTTCAGAGCCTCTCTTTACATATCTTCTGAATTGTAAATTATGGATATGCTCAACTGATCTCAACGCAATTGATAAAATTTTTTCGACAAGAAGACGGGGTGAAGGAGAGCCCTCATGCTTTGAAGAGAAAGCTGGATACACTATGGGTTACTGGGGGCAGTGGAAGATTGTGTGTCTGCCCGTATTGTCCGTTGAGGATGTAGAAGATACATAATTGGATTTATGATAACAGCTGCACAGAAATCTGTTGGAGTCAGTCTCCCCACCATCACAGACATCTACACCTCCAGATGCAGGAAGAGGGCCACCTGCATCATGAAGGACCCCACCCACCCAGCACACACACTTTTTGCCCCACTCCCCTCAGGAAGGAGGTTAAGGAGCATTAAGTGTAGAACCACTAGACTGAGGAACAGCTTCTACCCTGAGGCTGTTAGACTCATGAATCTCTAACTAGAATAATCACTGTGAAAAACCATATCATGTTGCTGCTGATCTGTTTCATGTTGCTGCTGATCTGTTTCAATGTTGATGTGTTCATGCGTGCACATCTGCTCACAGACTCATGTTCATGTTTGTGGTGATGTTCAATGTTTTATGTTATGAGTGCTTAGTGTATATTTAGTTGATGTTTTTCTTAGTTCATATCTTAGATGTTATTACTGTTTTTCTTATACATTTTATTGTTGGATGTAACTGGGACCCTGCGTACATAATTTCGCTCCACCACATGTACCACATGAGGTGCGAATGACAATAAAGAAACTCTGACTCTGACTCTGACTCTGATGATTACCTGGCTTATCGTCAAATTTGAAAATCATCTTTTTTTTTTTCTTTCATTTACCATTTATTTATACAGGTAGTCTCATTGAGTCACGATAACTCATTTTCAAGAGAGACCTGTTTTAGGGAGCCAATGGTAGGGGTTAAGGACCTTGCTCAGGGGCCCAGAGTGGGGCAAATAAGGGTGGAGGCAGGTGTGGGTGTTTCACCTTTTCCATCCACATTTTGATGTTGACGGTACCGGGAGTTGAACCTGTGACTTGCCAATCACAGGCCCATCTTCTAACCTCTGTGCCACCACTCCCCCACAGAGCAGCGTCTGTTCTAGCCATTGCTAAGCTGCCTGGCATGTGAAGGAACGTGCCGTGCTTTGAGCATTCACTCAACTGCTTTGTGAGCTAAGCTGCAAGCTGGACGCGATTTCTAAGAATCGCAGGCCACTTGCAGCTCCTGGAACTTGCTGGCGTGAAGAAACTGACCTCGGAGAAGGCTACAAGCACGGCCCGGCAGAGTGACCACAAAATTTGGCTGTTTGGATTCGCTATTTGAGATGTACCAGCAGAACTATGAAGGCAGACAAAAAATCAAGCAGAGTCGGCCTGTCCCAAAACAACGTTATCTGAATCTGGCTTCCCCGCTTGGCCTTGAATTGGCCATCTATCTCAAATTTTTCCTGGAGGTTATGTGAACAAGAAGCTCTGCTCCCCCCCCCCCCCCCCACACACACACACCACCACCACCACCACCACCACCACCACCGACGACATCTGTGGACCTGTATCAGAGCTGAACCGGCTGATAGGCACTGTACCATTTCTTATCAGGACTATGGAACTTTCTGGCAGTGTCCATGGACAACTCAACACCTTTGTCAGCCTCCTCATGCATAAATGTATTATGATGTCATTAGTTTGTTGCTGTTTATGTGCGAGATCTTTTTTGCAACTTTCACACTGTGCCCCGGCCAGGACATAGTGCGAGATACAATTTTTTTAAATCTCCCCACCCCTCATGTTTCTCTTTTCTTTATCTACTTTTGTCTGTCTGAAACAGGTCTCTCTTGTAAATGAGTCCTCAAGGCTCACTGGGAAGTAACCTGTATAAATAAAGGTTGAATGATTTATTTTGGCAAATAAATGATAAAAATAATATCTAAAAATTTAAGTCTGGTCCTCTGGACATTCAAAAAATGAGCATACATGTTGAGCATGCATAAAAATAATACTTTGGTTATTCTGCTAAAGGCAACAAAGATTCATCCTCCAAGGGTGAGGTTTTCTTAGGTTATAATGATGTTTAAATTCTTGAAGAGGATAAACTAAGAATGAATGAAACGTCACGAGCTTAAATAGCATCACAGCTAGTTATAGATGTTTCTAACATCTGTCGGTGCTCCTTCTGCAAACACCAATAAGTAAGCCATTTAATTTAGTTGCAGTTCTTTTCAAGATAATTTTATCTTAAGCATTTCATTAACTTTGGCCTGTTTTGACTCAAAATGACTTTTCCCTGGTGCTTTAAGTGCATTACAAATGTGGAGTCTCAGACACAAGCATATCATATGGAATAGAAATATTTATACTCTAGTTTTTTTGGGGTTTTTTTTTGCCTTTCCTGTGTTTCTACAGTGTCATGAGGGTCTAATGGAATAAACCAAGACTGAAGACTCTACGAAAATGTGCCGTGTGTATTTTGAGCTGTTCGTTTGATAATGATTCTCTCAAGATTAAAGCTGACTGCCTGAACCTACGCTCTCATATTCTTTGACATTCAGAAACATAAAAGTATAGAGGTAAAACATTAAAAATGTGTTTCTGTCAAAACACTTCAGATGTTTTCCTTTTTCTTTCCCTCTGTAGCCCTAATAGTTGATTTAAAATAGCAGGAAACTCTTCTGTAATGGTTACTGTTCATGCTGTCCAAACCTGCCACGGTCCAACATCCATTACGGTCCCATTCCCCCTCTCAGCTGAAACTACCAGCTCTTACACTCAATGGCTGACTCTCAACCACAATTATCAACTCTTCTTCCTAATCACCAGCACTCAGCTTTAGTTTTAACCCCTCCACTGCAGCCATTGACCTCTCCTTGTTGTTCTTCTCATCATTACTGGACACTGTGTACCGACCAGTTCCAGTTGTCAGACCATCTGGGGTGAGGGTTGTTTTAGAAGCATAATAAAGCAGTGTTTAAATTTCCATAGGAGATAAAGGAGAAACTAACTTAATGCATCTTATCGATATGTGTTTTTTTTTTTGTGTGTGTTATTTAAGCTCACCCAGACTTAGACCTTTTGATGGCAACCATGTCAATATTTTCCAAACTCCTCAAGTTTTGACGTCATCAGAAAAATCCCATTTCCACAGTCCATATGGGCAATCTTATTTTTTGGTCAAAAGGTTTTAAAAGTAGCCCTACAATTATCGTGTTTTTAAAGTTGTCACTAAAAAGAAGTCAAAAAGAAAAAGTTCACTTGTGAATCAGCATGAATAATTTGGCAAAAATAAATAAAAGGGCAACAAATGTAATGTCATGGTGCACTTCATATCAGCTCACTGCATACCACGTCAAGTCAATCAGAACTAGTTTTTTATTGCAAAGCAAATGTTTTATATACATTTAAAAGTATAATATTATAGTATAATGTATGGTTTTATATCAATTGTTTTATTTACATTAGATTAAGGCTTAGCATTAGGGATTAGGGTTATATACACCAAGTAAAGTACAAATGTAGACATTTCTATACCTATATATACATGTTTAGCTACAACGGTAAGTAGCGTAGTGAGTTATTATATATAATATGCTGTAGATGCTATTTTGTGCTTTGGCTTCGCTGCCTTCTGTCAGGCTTCAGCAAGGCTTTTTTTCTTGTTTTAAACTAATTTTAAAAACTTGTTTGAGACTGTTCAAATTGTGTTTTTGTCTCAAGAACATTTCTACAAAAGTCACTTAACTTTCATTTGATCTCCTACTTTCAAATTATATTTATTAGAAAAGCTTTCACAATCAGGCTGGTAAATATGTGACCCCTGAAGAATGATGTTCGGCAGTTCGTCGGCCGTTAAACTGTTCAGCGACATTATCCCCAAAAATCTTTTAAACCCCTGGTGTAACTAAGGCCAAGCCCAGTATTTGTTAGGATCACTCGAGTGCTCCCATTTGTGCCTTTTTTGTTCTTTTCCTTCCAACTGAATGTATACGAGTGTCACATCTAAGAGTGATTTTATTTTAGGCTGCAGTCCAGAGGGAGCAGCTACTGTCAGCGCAAAAATGTTAAGGTCTAAAATAAATCCAAATGTTTAAATCACACTTTACCCACAGGACTACTTACAGAAGGGGGTTTGGGAGGAATTTAGGTTTGCAATAATGCTGGATCATATTTCTAAATTGTTATTTATTGTACAGTTATAGTAGCAGTGGGAGAAATGTGTCTGCATTGGGCAAGATGTTGTTGGTGTTTTAAACAGATGGATTGCATAAAAATAAAAAAAAAAGATGATTTTATCCAGACTGTTCGCACCTTTTTAAGTTGTGTGATGCTTGTAATGAGCTCTTTATGTGTAATGCTTCCGATTAACTTACACGTGCAGAGAAAAATAGCATGCACACCTCTGAAGCTCTTTTGCCTGCTAATGGTGCTGATGTTGGCCAGTGACCTTATGAGACTTCTAGTTTCCATGGATACATCCAACATTGTAAAATGCAGACATTTTCTCAATTAAATCTGCAAAATCAAGACAAAAGCACTAATGTATTCTTCTAAACAAACTAAAACGTAAAGTATATCATCCTTTTTATGTCTCAGAGCTGACCTCTTTGCACATTGTGTTTATATAACGCAGGAGTAAGGAGCCTCTGAAAGACAGCGTGGTGTCCACCTATGAGGAGCACGAGGACAGCGTGTATGCAGCTGAGTGGTCATCAGCTGACCCCTGGCTTTTTGCGTCTCTGAGCTACGACGGACGCCTGGTTATCAACAGGGTCCCCCGAGCTCTTAAATACCGGATCTTGCTGTGAGACAGACGAGTGCTGCCAGCGACCTTTTATGAGTGCGAGTGCCTATATGAGTGTGTGTCTGATGTAAATGTATCATAGTATTTATATCCCACTCATTACTGTAAAAAGTTGTTGCTTGTAAACATTAAAGAAAAGTCTCTGGATAAAAGTTTGACTTTGAGGCATTTATTTAGGCTCCTAATTTATTTAATAACTACAATCAGTATTTGTCCTCATATCCCAATGTCACTCATTTAGCTTTTGTCAGAACTGCAATTTTGTCTCCAATGTAAAGAACATTGCTGGTGTCTTAAGGACATCGTAATGGAATCAAGGTAAAATTATGAAGAAATAAAAGGCACTTTATGCGTTTGCTTGACCAGAATTTAATTCCATTTATTTATAAAGCGCTAGTTCACAATACAAGTCATCTCAGGGCACTGTGCAAAAATATTCACATACATTAAAATGCCATTTAGCAAAAGTTCTCTATCTAGAGTAACCAGCAGATACATTTTCTCTGTTGCATTCTCTGATCCTGAGCAGCACATTGGCGACAGTGGAAAGGAACGACTCCCATTTAACAGGAAATCATATCCAGCAAAACCAGGTTTAGGATGAGCCCCAGCTGTAGACCACAAGATTTGTGTACAGGTAATGGGAATTTCACCATCTCAAGTTCAAGTTTATAGACTTTCGCATCACGTGGTACATGGGGTGGAACGACATTATGTACTTGGGGGTCTGTGCCTGTTTATTAGAGTCTCTCTGAACCTGGCATGTAACGATAACTGCACATCGGCAAATCCAAATCAAAAAGCGATTCTAAAGATAGAAGAAACATAAGTTTGTAAGTACGAGCAGAAGACTCGATACAACAAGGGTGATTCCAACAAAGTTAAGTCAGGTCAACTGGATGTTTTTTAGTTTGTTGTGACTCCTCAGACTGACAAAGTACTTTGGATGAAACGTAAAAAAAACAATCATCCATATGACCTGACTTAACTTTCTTGGATTTTTTTACCTGCATTATTGAGCATGAACTTTGAAACAAGGGTGATTGTTTTGTAGAGCTACTGTGAGGTGGTTTGCTGTTATCCACTTTGTATAATTCTTTACCTAGGGATTACAAGAATACACAATGAGGATAAAATTTAATAGTGAAATTTCATCAAACCTTTTATTTATTTGTTAAGCCAACCTTTGTCAGAGCATTACCACCTATCAGACAATAATGTAACATTGTTCACCAATGGGTTTAGTGCAGTGGTGCCATTGGCCCCAAAATTCTATCAGTACCAGTTCCAATAACTTTTTGCACAGGAACGTGATGCAGCAGCTTTCAGAAACCCAGTGCTTTTTGTACTCAAGGCCACCTGCATGATTTATTTGTGTGCATGTTCAATGATGTGGTGCAGTGAACTGCATTGTTCACACTCTGGTTCAACAGGTTGCAACAATAGGCTGCTTTAACAGGCAATTTAAAAATGTCTGATTTCTCAACAGAAATTTCAAAGTAGTATTTATTCTATTAACAAAAATCAGGTTGTTCTGCTCGGACTGGAAGGTTGTCATACAGTCCTCAACATAAAGAGGATGCTGATCCCATGACTTTTCTTTGAAGACAGGTTTTTGCTGTGGTGCCCAGTGGGTGTAGTGATTTTATGAATATTACAGCCAGTTTTCAAGTTGGACAGTGAGTAAGGCTCAAATAGGTTAAAAAATGTTACATTTATTATTATTATTATTGCTCTGTTTTGATTATTGCACTAACTGCATAAGCCTATGGCTGTATTGAATTTTTCACTTACAAAAATTAATTTAGTCAATAATAACTTTATCAACCGTGAAGCCAAACTGAACAACAATATGGCAAAAAGCTTTCTGATAGAAAACTTTTTTTATTGCTCAACCAGAAGGTGATTTGAAGTTTTTACATGTGCATAATCAAAATAGTACAACAAATGTGTTTATTAATATTAGCATCAGGCACTGTCTGTCTTTTGGCTTTGTACAAGTGCAGACAGCTTTAGGGAGAAACTGCTTAAATTATTACTCAGATCTCAAATTTGCTGTTGATTTTCTGTCCATTGATTTTTAAATTAACTTTCTAATAGTTTTATTGATTTTACTGGAAGTGCTTCTGTCCAATGCAGACTTAAAGGCCGCAGTAAATTCAAAGCATTTAGAACTACAAAAACAAACACGTGATGCCTTTTCACCAGCAGGCGACAGGGAATACCTGCTGCAGTCGTGACTGTTTTGTACCATTTCCTGATTTTCGTTTAACCCTCAGTTGAATAGTCTTTTAATTCTTTTTTTATAGGATTGCATTGGAGCTACTAACCAAATGTTGATTTTTGTCATCTCGGTCTTGTACCCCTCACTCATCGCTCATCTCCCATCCACATGCCCTCCTTTTTTGAATGCGTATGTGCTGAGGCTGGTCGATAGTGACAGTCCAAGTCCTGTGTTATGGCAGACACTACCGACAGGCCTTTTAATTGCAGCCTGACTTCAAAGATCACACATCCACATGTTCACACATACTCACACACAGTAGGGGGGAAGGGCATGGGCACTTTATTAGCTTTCAGCAGTGCTGTGGCTGAATACAGAATCTATTTGTCTAATCAGAGACCCTGCTCACACACAACCGCTGTTACCCTGCAGTCAAATACTGCAAGGGGGATCTGAGTGAGTGCCAAAAACATAATCACAGATTTTTACCCATCTGGAAACTTGTAATGCTTGCAAAAGACAAACACTCATTTACCTTTATCAGCGTGTGAAGACACCAGAGGGAGAGCAGCAAGTGTGTCTTACAGCCCATGTATGATCACTGCAATAAAATGGAATTGAAAAAGCAGAGATAGATATCCCTCCTTCTTTATAAAGAACATCCAGCAGCAGATTCGTGACCGATCGTCAATCTGTCTGCTCATAACTGCAGAGTATTTGCATATGAATCGATAGAGGCACCTCTTTAGTATGCCTGAAAGCTTTTTCCAGGACAAATTACATTAACTATGATGCATTGATTGTCATTGTGGGGATTTGGATACATTAATGAAAACAGTTTGAAAGTATATTCTGCTGCAGCATCAACACAGCTGGAACATAAAGCCTGTCTTTGGCAGGTATGTTTAAAATGAGTTATTTTACCCTTTATTTAGTGCATCATGTATATCTCATCGGTTTGCTCACTAGTTAACAAGCATAATTTACCCTATACAAAGCTGTGAAGTTATTTTATTAATACAGAACTTTTTCAAACATTTCTGTTTAAATTAAATTTTCTGTAAGAGTCAAAGATTAGACTGTTTTTGCATGCATTTATCAATCCATTTACCATTCTAGGTGTGTCCAAAAAACATCTTTTTGGCTTTGTTACTTTGACACACAAGCTTTAGATGTCATCAGCAAAATACATCATAATTTTGTAATACTTTGTGTGCATGCCATTTCTGGTATGATTCCATGCTATTTCTATGTGTTTTGGGTTTTTAGAAATAGTTATCGTTTACAATAAAAGCATAGGGTTGGACATGAGTTCTTCCCAGTATCACACTTATCACCTTTTTTTGTTTTTCCTAATTCAGATAGCAGTTCAGATTTGCAAAGTGCCATTACATTACAGTTCCAACTAGAAACAATTGTATCCAGCTTCCTCGTCTTTGAGTTCACTTAATAATAACTAGAAATCCGACTCCAATCATTGTGGATAAATAGTGGAATATCAGACCTTTTTCTTTTGGCTCCTTTGTTTTGCAGTTAACAGTAAATTCAGTTAAACTACCCCCTGCCCCCACTGAATAAGTATAAAAAAAATACCAATAATTTTCCTACTTTTTCTGGTTTAGTATTAACAAATAGAGGATTTTAAAATAATTTTAACTTTGTTAGCTTTAGTCAAAGTGTATACATTTCTTTGAAGTTACAGTTAGAAAATCCATCTTTTTATTGGCTTTTTTTTACTGTTTAAACTGAGAGAAATGCAAGTTATTGTTGTCGTTTTTACAGGATGAACAGGCATATTTTTTTATCTGGTAGGAGTAAAATCTTGTCAGTTAATGAGAGTAATTTGTGTTAAAATTACATTTGCATCATAGAGCAAAGCTGATCTGAAAGACTTACAACGATGAAGAGTGGGTAATACCACAATTTAAGGCTCACTGTAAATTTTTTGTCTAACAAGTTGGTGGTGCCATTTTTGTAGTTTTATTATTTTTTTAAATCAAAGCAAGGTCATTGACATGTAATTGAGACCTCAGACAACTATCTTGTGAAAAAAGGGCTTGTTTCCTTTAATTCAGAATTTCATGAAATCAGGTTGAACAAAGCCAACCTCTTCCTTCATTAACAAAACACATTAGGGAAACAATGACTGCTTCACTAAAGGTTTAATGATGTTGTTGAAGCACTGGATGCTAAGGATTACTGTGCTGCACTTTACTTTAAACCTGTCCAGAGCTTTCCATACTTTAGATCTGGTCATGACATCTTATGTCATAAGCTCTCAGATATTGGTTTCTCAGATTGCACTGTTGGTGGGTTTTCTAACTACATGTATCTCTCAGAACGGTCACTAATGGTGTGCCACAAGGCTCAATTTTTGGACACACTATTTTTACAATTAAATAATGTAGGTCAAAACATTCCTGACACATCCTTGCATCTCTATGCTGATGATACAATAGTTTATTGCCAAGCTAACAAGGTTTTTCAGCTTCTGCATTTGACATCATTCACTCTGACTTGTTCCATTTCAAACTAGTGTTAAATGCTGATAAAACCAAGGGGATGTTGTTTTCAAACAGAAAGTTGGTTCCAGCAGTTCTTCCTATCTCATCCATGCATGGTGTTCTGATTGAGTTTGTGGATTCTTGCAAATACTTGAGAATTTTCATTTTAATTGGGCTTCTGTTTCAGAAATAGATATTGCTTAACTCTGAATGCCAGGAAATGTAGCTACTTGTTTACTACCAGCCATCAAATATTGCATTATTGACATGACATTA